CATGACACGATTAAATACCTGTCTCTTATACACATCTTGTGTGTGTGTGTATTTCAGAAATAAAAGCTTGGAAATAAAAAACAAATATTGCACCTAGATGCCAGGAGTTCTTGCACTGTTTCATACATTGCAATTGCTTTTAATTGTGTTTTAATTTGACAATTAGAAGTTCAATAAAATTCATCAAAAATACTTTACTCTTATGCCACCTTACACCTCCGAAAAAAGAAGTTATAAAAATCAAGGCTCCTTTTTATGATTTATGCTACTGGAATATTTTCTGTGTAAAACAAATAAAGGCAATCGCCATGTCATTTTTTTTTTATGTATATGATTTTAATTCAGATAAGACATTCCCTACCACTACCACCACCACTACCACCACCACCACCACCCCTTCCCCAACTTTAAAAACTATTGAATTTATACAGGTGAATCAAAACGAACTAGTTGGTCTCGAAATCCAGACACTGTTTCGTTATACAATATACAGAAGTGCAATTCATTGGAAAAGCTTTAAAATTGAGTTTTTAAAATAAGTTTTATGTATATATACTAATATTTTGCGAATCTTGGGATTTTCAAAGCAATATTGGGATTTTTTAGACTGATTCTTGAGAATTTTTATTTTTCCCAGTGGTCACTCTGGAAGATTTATTTCACATTTGTCACCACAAAAAGTATCTGTCTGTCTGTAATAACGTGGTTGGGTGGGTCTAGCAGCCGGGCTGGGCCTACATACATGTGACTTTAATTATGAGGTACTGTCCGTTTCTAGTCCATAATGTCTGCAGATACAGGTCTTTAAATTATAAACATTTAATTCAGAGGTTAAATTCTCAATCACAGTATCATCAGAGAAGCATAACATCAAGTGCAGGTAGGCCTGTTACAATATCCTTTCTAGCCTAGGGCCCAGGCCTTCTGACCTAAAAAGGCCTGGCATACTTGTGTTGCATAGGCCTAGGCTAGGCAACTTGCCTAGGCAAGGTCGGCTATGGATCTCAGAATTGGTAATTGGACATCGCTGGTAACTTCAGCACTTTCGTCCAATGTGTTTTGTTGCTTGTGTGGAACGTCTGCTCGAATTTAGTTTATTAGTTAAGGAAGGTATTTATTTGATTTTGATAATGGAATAGGCCTACTAAATAAAGCTGATTTGAAAGTTGATTTCTCGTTAGACTGGATGACCTCAGATGGAAAGTTATTCCAATCATTTATTGTTTTAGGCAAAAAACTGTGTTTATAATTTTGTGTGCGACATTAAATTGGGTGTATTTATGTCTGTGAAATCACATTTCTTTGTTTTCTGGAAGGTTTAGGCACTAGTTAGTTTATAGCAATATCATTTTTTATGCCTTGTTACAATAGCAATAACCTGGTTTTTTCTTGGTGTTGTTTTAGAGTTGGCCACTTGGGCACATAGAAAAAATTATTAGATTATCACTTTTTCTTTAAAAAAAATTGATGAGGAAGGGCATTTTTTTTTTTTTTTTTTATCAGAACAATAGATTATTTGCTTTAATTGTTTTTATTAATGTGGGGACTGTTTATATTTGGTCTGTAATATTAAATATTGTATAAAAACTGATCAAAATTTTATAGTTTTTTAAAGATATCACAAAATTGCATTGTTATTTTTATGCTGTTGCAATAATTGATGCGGCAAAAAAAAATTTTTTTATTCCTGCATCAATATTTCCCAAATTTTTGACGCGAACGAAAGTAATAATCTAATAAATTTTTCTATGTGCCTTTAAGTGGTTGTAATATTGCGTTGACACTTGACATCTGTAATCAGAGGCTGTGAATCTTGTAGCTCTTCTTTGCACCGGGCGAACAATGGAGGAACACCTTGGAAAGTGTTCGGAAGAACTAGAAAGAAAACATTGGCTGTACATGAGAGCGGTAGCAAGGACTAGGACTTTAGCATGACACGATTAAATACAAACTTGTACCTCCCCCCCTCCCCCCATCAAGGAAATTCTCATTGGCAACTGTTTAAACACAATGGTAAAGTCACAGGTTACAAGCTTGTCAGTCACTTTAGATTCAAATTTGCTTCTTCTAAAATCACAAGTTTGTGAGCTGCTTTGCTGCTCAGTGTGTGGAATATGCAAGATTGGAAGCAGTCAGAAAACACAGTGGCGGATCCACACAGTGGCGGCAGAGGGCTTAAGCCCAACCACCGGACAGGTCAAGGCGCCCACCCCCCCATCGGACAGAGCTCATCAGGCAGTCAGACCATAAAAAATATAAAAATAGGCCCACACCAAGCAAACATGTTTGTCACTGTCTGAGAGTGCCATTTCCGGCCATCTAAAGGTTGCTACAGTATTCTTTAAAAAATCTTATTTGGGAAGGGCCCCCTATCAAACCCTTCTCCCCAGCTCGGGCCTACGAGCTCAAGTCCCCCAGTCGGACAGCTTAGTCCCCCACCCCGAAAATATATCCTAGAGCCACTAATGCTTATACGGATTACCAAAATATGACATCGCAAAATTGTAAGTGATACAGAATATGGCTGCACGCATTACTACAACTTACAAGAGAAAAATCTTATGCACATCAAAGACCTTCATTGACTTCCTGTACTCAGAGGATTATCTTTAAGATCCTGCTGACTACCTACTGTACAAGGCCCTACCTGTGTTCAAAATCTCCGGCCTACATAGATGAACTGATTACGTTTTACTGCCCTCCTAGGCAATTAAGATCTTCCACTCAAAATACTCACAAAAATGATTACTTGTGAAAGTGAATAATAATGATTACTTGTGAACGTGAATTAAGATACATAAATAAAAAAAATAAAACTACCAATGGTAATGTAGAAGTAAATCTATTCCTGCAGGACAAAATCCCGGTATTTCTGAGTCTATGTTATGGGACCAGCATAATGATTACTGAATTATAAGTAAAACTATTACAAGTGGTAATCTAGAAGTAAAACCATCCCCCGCCGGACACTATCCCGGTATTTCTGAGTCTAGGTTTCGGGTCTGGAAATAGTAATTACTTATGAAAGCGAATATGACAAATAAGAGCTACAGTACAATGAATATGCATATATTTTTGTTGCAATTTTCATAACAATGATTATTTTTCTGTTTTAGGTTTCACTCTATGATGAGATCTCCATAGAAGAAATCCACTGCCAATCCATAAACCCCCTGATTGTCATCAACAGCATCCTCATCATACATTTCACTCTCATGCGGTTTCCAGTAGCCAATGAAATACTGGACTCTACCCGTTAGAATGTGCGACCAATATTCTTGCCAACTGTCTACCTTCAATTATGATGTTCATAATTTCCTCCTTTTCAGGAAAATGAGCCGTTGTTTTCTTTCCTTTTTTAAACTGATTAACTTATCTTTTGTGGTTGGCTCAAGCGAATGACACTTCTGGGTATTACTCATTCATATTCATCACGCAATCGACAGGTTGGTTCTTCCTGGCCCTAATAGCTTATGAAATGTAGTCTACCGATGCATTTGTTTTTAAGGCCTTTATTGCAGAAAACATACCCATAACTTGTTCTGCATAAATGTTATGAATTTTGGCTGACCTCGTTTCTTCCTTTAACTTTAAGTAGTTGCTGTACCGATGATTAAATACTGTAACACTTCGCTTGAAGCAATCAGACATTGAAGTAAATAAACAAAATCTTGTTATCTGGCAATGTGCCCAGACAGTCCCCCATGGCCATTTCATTACCAAAACAGTCAACATTGCCATTGAAAACTGCAAAAAGATCATCAGCCCACTGCTGAATATTGCCTATTTCTTTACCAAATCAAATGCTTCGAAAAGGTGAAGTTCTGATGTCTATGTAAAAACTTCATCCACGGCCCAGTGATGGATTTACCAATAACTTCTAAAACTTGGGATTTCGACTTTGACCTCTTTCCTTGCAAAGTTCAACAGAACTGCTGATCTTATACCCCTTTCAGACAGACCTGCAAACGATATTAATACCGTATATCTTGAACGCCGGCGTTCTATGTGAAAGGGTAAATACGCCTCAACGCCGGCTTCAGTTAGAACTCCTCAGGACCTAGTCTTAATACCGCATTGATACCGTAGCGAGTTTTGCCCAACTCGATGTGAAAGGGTACTGGGTTCATCGCTGTCTTACGCACTGAGGCATGCAAGCAGTCATCAACCGCTGCTGCAGCTAACAAAGCCGATGAAATCGCTAGTTGACGGTTCTTTAGACGCGAAAATCGCCTGCACCTAGCTGCTGGAAATTCAAACCCGGCCTCACCTTAAACTCTTCCTAAATTCTTTCTCCACTTGAACGAAACGCATTAGAAACCTTCTGTTTCTCAAATTTATATGTATTGCAAATATAGCAAGCATTAAAAAACATTTGCAAACCAGCAGTTTTATGACTTCGCCGGGCCATATTGGATTAATGGAGTAAACAAAAATTTTCGCCCTCTTTGTTAACCAGCACAAGCGCCACAGATATCAAATACTCCTTTCCATTTTAACTAGCTGTGTAAAAGGGTCTGCGCCGGCAATAACGACGGCGTGATTAGGGTATTATTGTGGTATTTTCTGTCTGAAAGGGGCTTTAGTTGATTTGATTTCAGCTGTTTGTCAGCAAAGAGCATTTTAAAAATAGTCCACCAGAAATACGGATTGATTGGACGAAATTGCAACAGAACGTTTTATGATCTAAACAACATACTAAAAGTTTACTAAAATAGGACCTACATAAAGGTGTTTTTTATAGCCAAAAGTCGGGGTTTTCAAAATTTTCTTGATTATGATTGGTCAACAGTTAGGTCAACGTAGGTCATATCTGTTTGTTGCCCGCATACTCCCGGTTTGCAGGAATTACAGAGCTATAAATATTGGAAATTAACTGGAATCATGCCAAAGCAGTTCCATGTATGACCGAGACAAATGTTAATGCAATCTCTAGGCCTGAGATATTGTAATAACATCTCATTTTTTAGGCCCTAGCCTAGGCATATCTCTCTTGCTTCCCGGTTCAGTTGTGCACCTTGAAGTGTGTCACTCTCCCCGCATTGCTACGTTTTCTCGGCCAACGCACACATGAAAGCATAGAGAACATTTTAGTATGTAGGCCTAGGACTATATTCAATGTACTCTCATCAGTGGGAATTTTATTTATCATCTAAGTAGTGTATATAGTTACTATATAGGACAAATACAAATTGGGCCCTATTATTGATAAATTCTTAATGGTAGTAAAATATTTTGTGCTGAAAACACTTTTGGTTAAATTATCATTGTAGTTTACAAATAATATACATAGGCCTATTCAGCTTCTAGGTACTTGAAATGAACTGCATCTTCACACCTAAAAAAAGTCACTTAATGTTAATTTTTATCTTAATTTTTATTATTTTTAAAAATTATAAACATCAGATACATTGGATGGCTCAAATTACATAGACCTAGACACGAACAATTTATTTATTTATTTTATTTCAACAATCTTTAATGAGGGTGATCCATCTAGCCAAAGCTGATCATTAGGGCCCCTCAACACACACAGTAAAACAAGACAAAAGCGAGTATGAAATTAATTAATTAATCTTACGGTCGGTAACCTTTTACTCCTTAGGACCAGAATTTTTTGCCATAGCTTCCACCCTAATTATTGAGTCGTTGCTCTATTCACGCTACATGCATCCAATAGAAAGCTCAATATTGAAAAAAAAGAAGAAGAATATTGGTCATTAAATTCGCATCACAAAATACGAGAACATAACTATTGTAGTTTTGATTACATTACTTCTGATTTCATATTTACCAGTAATGAATTTTGCATTGAAAGTTATTGATATAAATTAGTTCTAATGTAACTCATTTTTAGGTCAATAAAAATACAATTTTTAA